TGATTTGATTAAAGTGCCTCTCTGATTTTGAAATCGTACTCACGTTTTTTTTATGCTGTTTAGTATAGTAGTACGTAGTCGTGTTCCATGGGATCACAAGGTCTGTCATTGAGTCAAGTGGCTTAATTTCGATTCCCCGCCTGAACGTGACAAGGGTAGGGTCGCCTGTTCAACCTCCTGGATTTTCTCAGCCCCCCCACCCCAGCTAAAGACCCCTACGCACACGCGAATTATTTAAATAAAATCCGAACCTAGTTTGTGTCAAGTGGACGTTAACCCCCCCCCCCTTTCCTCTCTCTCTTTCACACACACACACATAAGTAGTAGAGTGCCCTGCCAGGGTTTTCACCCCACCCCATCCCCACCCACCCGCTGCTATTAAAAGAAATTTGACGCATAACATGTTAGATCTGTAAAGTGAACGTTAACAAACCCGTACTTAATCGCAGTTGTCACTTTTACTTTCTTTTTAAAAAAAATAGACGCATTAACACTGACCTTCTATAAAGGAAGCCCTAAATAACTTTATTGGATAATTTACTACTAAATAAGTATTAACGTCCGCGTCTACAACGGTGATATCACAGACAAAAGAATAAATCAGACAGGCTTAACCATGGTATATAAAGCTGGGATGTTTATTGAAAAGCACGAAAATCACAGTAAATAGGATTTATACATCTAACTCAATATTATCCATAATATTCCAAATTAAAAACACGACTTATTTTATTTGCATTTTTCATATGTTTTATTCTTTAAACAATATAAAATTATATTTTGAAGATGCACACCCAGATCTTGTTATCTTATCGTGAAAATATAGGATCAATATCCCATATTTAAGACACATTGAGTATTTTAAAATCAGAATACGACGTCGAGTACTCTATGGTTAAACCCCATCTCTCTCTCACTCTCACTCTCTCATTTACTATGAACAAGAAAAACATATCCCATCAGAAAATTCGGAAGTCATTAAGACAATACAAATTTATAAACGTGTAGAATGGACTGTCGTTCAATCTGGGCTATTCACGTATTTCACCGAATATAATTTAGAAATTACATTATTGTTTTTAAAATCTAAATATGAATTTTATGAACATGTGACGGACAATAAAATCTTAATTGCTTACGTGAATGTATTTGTTTCACATCAAAATTCTTTTGAAGGTTAAAAGCGTCGCCTATTTCATATTCTTCAAGCAGTTAAAAAAAGGTTTCAAAGATGCACACCCCGTAAATGGTATGTAACCTGATAGGCATAAATCCACCAATTTTCTTATTTTATATCCTCATTTGACGTTTACGATAGTTTCTGTTGGTTCATGACTTCGTCTAGGGAAGTGACACCACATGAAATGGGGTTTAACGTCATTCTACTCTGCTAACACAGTCGTCTTAATGTATTTTTGAATCTATTTTATTAACAGATAATAAATAAAACATATACAAATATTAACGGCTAGAGCTCGGTTTCATCTGTACGAAAATGGAGATAATTATTTATTCAACACGTGGGGCAGGCTTACCAAAAAGATAACTGAAGCATAACGAACATAATACAGGGATTTCTGCATCTATGTACTGTGATCGGGTTACCTATGTATCTCGTTAAACATATATCAGGTAGCAGGTAGCAGGTAGCAATAAAAATGAAATGTGTAATGCCTGTTTCTAATGAAAAAAAGTAGATTGTTTAAACGGAAATACTTGTATATTTAGTGATATATTAAAGGAAAACAACATCGGGTGTAATGGAATCTCCATGTATATATATATTAATTGGGTTTAACTTTCCCAAAGTCTTGTGGCTACGGGGGGTATATAGGTCGTCCTGTCATGTAGATTAGTTTAAATAGAGAGTTAAAGAGAGTTTAAGACCGTGTATAACTGAAAGTGAATTTATTCAATCCCTTCTGGTCCAAATGTATTCAAATAAATCAATTCTAACTTATGTTACTGTCATTTTTGGTTTCAAATTTATTCTATTGATTTCACACCGCCATTTTTATTTCTCTTGTGCAAGGCAGTCCATTATTCTTTACATTAAAACAGCTGTAAATGATCTGGCTTATGTATTTATAAAAAATAACTGTTCTATTAAAATGTATTGTATATTAATTATTTGAAAGAATATCAATTCCCCCCTGCTATGCACTCAGTGGTTTTAGTCAGTCCTACTAATTCACATTACGACTAGAATTTTTACAACCAGTCAATTTAATATTCAGATAATATTGATTTAAGCTAAAGTTTTAAATCAAACATCCGTAGGGGTCGAGACTATCGTATATATTATAGTCTTTACATTTTTATTGATATAAACTGGTATATTTTATCAAAACTTTTTTTTAAGATATGACAAATTTATTCGTAATGCTCCATTTAAGTTTTACCTTGTAACAAAGGGTCTGAATGTTAGTTAAAATGCCTCTAAAGTTTTACTTATTGTGTCTAATCTGTGATGAATATATTAAATGAAATGAAATGAAATGAAATGGGGTTTAACATCCTACTGTTCTGCTCCTATACTGGGCTAATGAAGACGGGCATACGCCATACTGTGTGCCATGAGGGAAATTTTGCCCGGGCAGCCGCACTATCGCCTACTCTTATATCGAATTCCAACTACCAAGGGATCTTTTACGTGCATTCCAATGTATACACGGGACCTCGGTTTTTCGTCTCATCCGAAGGACTAGACAGCTGTCCTTGTCAGGCCCTCCGTTCTGCACCACTGACAAGGGGAAACCACGTCGGAAAAATATATTAAAGCTTGTGACCTGAACATAATATTCCGCAGTCACCTTGACAAACAGCACAGACATGCGTCACATGTTTTTGACAAGAACATTTTTAAACCCTTTGAGTATGATATTTAATAGTTAAATACGACATATTCAGTTCTAAAAAATAGAGAAATTTAACTACAAGACATAACTTAAGATGTATATGGATAATAATATTTCTAGTGGACTTATGATACAATGTTTTAAAACATTGTGCAATAAGTCAACTAGAAATATTATTAAAACATATATATATATATATATATATATATATATATATATATATATATATATATATGTACCTGCTGTTGTCCGATATCCTATATCCAAGTGGGGGGGGGGGGGGGCGAGTGGTCTGTCATTGAGTTGCGGTTACGATTCCGAGCTTCTACGCGATAAGGTGTAGGGTCGCCCGACCAAGCCCGTATTAGGTATTCTCTGGTGGGGGTGCCAAACAAGCTCAATGGATGATTTTATCAATCAAGATAATCCTCTTTATGGGTACTTACCCGCTAATATCATTTTCAGTAAATTATAAATTTAAATTTAGACCCTTCCCTCCCCCCAACTTTCAGAAATTCTACCAACGCCACTGTTTTCTTTCGTTGAATTTACCATCAATAATAATATATATTATTCATAGTGTAATATATCATGTTGTGTCTTCATAAAAGTTTGATAAATTGTACGAGGACAGCAATCAATCAAATATATATTTTTGAAATAAACACAAAAGTTGAATTTTTCATTACCTTGTAAACTGGTCTAATAGCACCCGGCTTCAAATGGTGTATAAATTATTAGTTACACATTTATTCACGTGCTAACCATTCGGCCATCCACCCCCCCCCCCCCCCCACCCCCTCAAAATTTTAGTAGATACTTCAATTTTGATTGGCTAAGCACTAAAATCAATCTAATACTATCCAATCAAATTACTAAAATTTGGATTTTATCTTAGTTAAAATTTCGTGAAACAGGCCCCGGATTAAACAATGCCCTGCATATATATTCGTTAAACGTTAATATGGACGCAACTCACGAAGACTGCCGATTGAGGGAATGGAGATAGGAAACTCTATTTATTATCATGACAATGTTATACTTGACAATCGATCGAGAGTATTTCTTGACAAAACTTCAAACAATCATAACTTTGCCCAGATCAAAGTATTTTGACTGATAATTTATATAAATTCCATTTTTGAATATCGATTTTCAAACGACCAGCTCTGTATCTAAATCTTACATAATGCATCTTCAACTTTGTTTTCCAGACGCATACAACACAACACACCTGTTGCAAATTACATGATATCATTCGCAATATTCTTACTCAACAGTAAAGTGATTTGTCGGGTGTAGCACATACCATTGCATATTGTTTATCAGTCTATGACAGCACACAATCTCAAATTTATACCCGGGTTCCATCGTCTATTGATTCTTTTGTAAATATTAGATATCAAGACATTTGATATCAGGTTTGGACATGGATCCATTCACTTGATCTGATACTTGCGTTTGATGCTTGTAGTGTATGTATATTGTGTCCTGTCCGTATGTTTGTCTTGTGTAATTGTTTGTGTGTGTTGTGTGGTCTCTCTGTACTTACTATTTCAAACTTAGTTCCTTCAAAATATTGTTTAGTAAATATAGGAAGGGCGGACACACCCGTTACATAATAATGTTTGACGTGATACCACACCCTACATAGAGAATAATATACGTAACATTATGATAATAAAGGGTGGAGTTGGCTGGGCGGAGTGGGGGGGGGACTGGCATAATAATATAACGTGAGCAGCATTGCACATAATACATGGAGATAAATTTAACCGTAAGCATCCAATACAGCCAACTGGAGCAAGTCCATGAGAATGTTATGTGTTTTCAAAATTGCGTTGCTATTTGTGCGGAGTGGTGCATTTAAGGAAAGGTTCTAATCATTCCAATAGCATGAACAGAAAGAAGCCACCGTTCAAACTGATAGCTCCCATGAAAGGTCCCTTGACAATTAGAAGTTTATATGTATGGACAAAATCTTTTTTTCTCCGTGGCTTGAAAACGTAATAGTAAAAGAAAATATAAATCAAAACTTTAAAGTATTGACTTGATGGTCAAAATGTTTTCCTTTGTATTGTAATCAATGAAGTATTGACTTGATGCGTTGACCTAAAGCCGGGAAAGACAAAAAGAACTTACCCGTTGAATGTATATCCAAGGTACAAATTCGGGTAAATGACATCCGCTCAAATGTCTGTATAGTGTATTAATGTGCCCGTCGCCTATTTATATCATACTAGTATAATATGCTTGCTTGATTTCTCACCAGTCTGGTCTATACAATAGTAGGGGAAGGTAAATACTAAACCTCAGTCGTCAGTGACTTGGTGCACGCTTCATTAGACAGCAACCCTCTAGACTTTAGACTACACACAGGTTAAATTTCCATATCTATATATAAAGGTAAACATAGCATGGAGTTACGTATGTCAGCGATATCATGCTAGGTGGAAGCGGACATTAAACCCCACGAACGACGCTAAAAGATTATTTCTTTCGTCACGGTCACGCAGAGAAACCACGCATAAGACGAACTCATGTGAACGACTTCTACCACCCACTAGCCAAACATTGTTATCCAGATTTTGTTTTGGTGGTCGCATCCCTCAAGCGGAAATTGGTCTAGTGCTTTCTAGTGCTTTTAGTGCACGTGGTGACGGGTGGCGGATTAGCCAGACGGTCCCCAAAGTCCAAACTCCAAACCACCCTATAGACGACTATCCTGTCCAATCATATTGGTTATTTTCTTCCGGTGTCTGTCCGCAAACCCAGCCATTTGTGCGACAGTTTTCGGGCTTTAAATTGACTAATAGATAAATAAAACACTTAAAATCAGTGTAATAAACACTGTCTGACGCCACTCTTTTTGGGAGCCATTTTTTCGTGCCCCATTTATTTGCTTTTTCTGTGAATGCAACTGATTGAGCATTGGATTGAATTTATTTTGCCAAACCATATAATTAAGACTATATTTGAGCACCTCCAGACGAACTGAATTACCACCCCAAACATATCCGCCGACGGCGCGCTTTGCGAATTTTGGCGATCGACTTTGCCAGTCGCGGCCCGGGGGGAATCTAATCGGGAATTTTATTGACCATTTCATTTCTGCCACTCTCTCCCGAAATATCTGTCTCCGTCGTTTTTCTAGAAATTTGTGCCAAAATCAGACCCGTTTTGTTTGGTCCGGGGTGAGTTACTAATCATCTGTTGTCAGGGACGGGTTAGACAAGGAAAAACATAATTTGACATACACAAAAACACATACTTATGGAAAAAACAGCTACTTATTTATTTGGGCAACGTTTCGAAGAGTATTCTCTCAACGTTATCCCACTGTATTAGCTTGATAACGTTGAGAGAATACTCTTCGAAACGTCGCCCAAATAAATAAGTAGCTGTTTTTTCCATAAGTATGTGTTTTTGTGTATTGCTCTATCCAGTTACTAAATGCCTCTAAAAGATTATAATTTGACATATATAAATTCATCTTCGTATCTACTGGGGGGGCCAACGAAACCAGCTGGTCCGAGGGCACAGATCAACACAGTCCGCCCCTGACATGGTTAATCCGGGGCTAAATGCGGAATTATTATTATAAAGTGTTGCACACTTTTTTATTTAAATCGGAACCAAAATCAGAGGAAATTGGATACCAGCCAGACAATAAGTCGACCAACAACAGCTTTAACTGGTTTCCCGTCCCACTGAGGAACAAGGGGGATTGTTTAATGGTGCATAGCCACACACACCCCTATACCCTGGTTAGAAATCTCTCCGGATTCGAGTGGTATATGAACTATTGTAGCCCCTGCCCCCTTTTTTTGTCATGTTCATCATGTATTAAATGTTTTATTTGTATGCTGCCTCTAATGGGGTTAGATACAATAAAATCTTATCTATTGTGCTAACAAGACATGTCAAAGACGGACGGATGGACGGACGGACTTATTGTCAGGAATATACGACCATATTGGGGTGTATTAATACATGTTTGTATCTTTGTGTACTTATCCACCTTTCCTGGTGAAAATGGATGACATACTTTGGCTCACGGCGATGATTTAATACAAATATACTTTATGATTGGGCCATTTAATACAATGGATGATTTAGAGCGTCACACGGTGTTCATAAAACGGCTGGTATGTAATTGACTTTTTATAAGCATAGCCTCGGGTATCTTGCCTCTATCGTCATCCATTATACTATTTTATTGTTTTGCTTGCAGTAGAATTGAAAAGAGTATTTTATGAGGCAGCTATAAAACAACATGACGATTTATTGAATCATTGAAAATAAAATCTAGTCGAAGTTATGTTGTATATTTTTCGCAATATTACGTTTTCATATTTTTACTGAATATAAACATCGTTGATACAAAATAAAACAAATTGCTTGAATAATACACAAACAAGACTATAGAAGTATTATTTATAATGAAATTTAGAAGCTCAGAACAAATTCGGGTTACGTAACCTCTTGAGTCTTAACATTGATAGATATTGTTTGAATAATAGACAAACAAGGGCTAGGTGTATATTTATAATGTAATTGAGAAGGTTAGAATATGATTGTGTGTGTTTGATTATATCTTGACATCGATGGAAGCAGTATATACTGCAATACTTACTCAAACCAGGGAGCCACGTTTCGAGGTGTTGGCTATTTAGTCTTGAGGTACCGTGTTTGATCTCTGTGTTGACCTAGAAAGTTCATAGGAATTTTCCGTTGTACCCCCCCCCCCCCACACACACACTCACACACACACACCCAGGACGACGGGTGTGCGCGCGCGCGCGTGTGTGTGCGGGGGGAGGGGGAGGTGCTGGCAAGGGACAAAGTATATATAGTCATTCGGGTGGGAAAAATAACTGAGATTCCGTGCACACATTTGCGTACATGCATATGCTGGTCTTCATTATCCCAGTCGTTGCAGAAAGATAGGACGTTAAACCCCATTTCATTCCATTACTCAAACGACATAGGACGTATAATAATAAAGAGAGACAAATAATATACAACACGTATTATAGCTATTTAACGTTATCGTAAACGAATCAAAATATTCTCAACAATATAACATAGATTTAATCTGGTATGAACTTCAACTGGTCATAATTTAGGGTTGATCGCTTTGAATTAGTTTAACACCAGCAGATGTTATACTTGTGGTCAAACTAATCCGCAGTAAATATTCGCTTGGCGCGCGCTAATGATTATGTCAGTTTTTAAACCGTAAGGATTTATTACCGAAACCTAGTAGAACATTTAAATACAATCTTCTTCGATTAAAAATATGATATAGCCCAAGGATTAAACTTTGATGTCAATGGAGGGAATATTATCGGACAGAGTTCGCATTCGAATTGGGCATCTGGGATATCCAATATGAAATTCAATTCGATATTGTCACAGGATGGTCGAGGCGTGGCCGTACTGGGGAATAAACAAGACTATAAACACAATACTAAGAATTTGGTTTATAACTAAACAAGATGGATCACAATATCAAAAGTCTTCCATAGTACGCTCACTGTTAAATCATGTAATTAATGTCGTCACATACGGTCCCCATCGGCAATCATCGGCTACTATTCATAGACGACATTAACTTTTTTCCTGCGACAAATTAAATTCTAAAACATTTTTTGTATATATTGGAAAAATAAATAAAGGCGTTTGACGTATTTGTAGGTAAAAATTATTTCCGATTTAGTGTAAATGGGTATTAAAATGACTAAAATGCAGCATTCTCTCCGAAGCAGTTATGTCTTATGTAAACAATGCACGCGCCATTCAGCCAATGATTCACACCGCGTGCTGTGACAGCTCGTGTTAAGGCAGTCATCTATGACAGAGATATTATACGAGACTCGTAATTCTCTGTGAAACAGATTGAGACGATACCATTCACCATAACAAATCGACGATACCATTTCATCGGCGACTACCGCCCATAAACGACTACCATTATCATAGACGATACCATTCATCGCCGACCATATCACCAATTGACATACTACCCATCGGTGTTTAAAATATTATAGAATCAACATTGATTAGGGGGAACCCATATGGGACCTGGAAAATTTAGTCAACAAACAACTGTGCATAATAAATTATTTACTCATACAAAATTACACAATACACAATGATGATGAGTAAATATGAAATGTTTCTATCTATTTTGTCCTTCGAGCCGTAGGCCAATAAAATTCCAGTGTTGGGGCTAGGGAAATGATATTTCACACCTCTGCCTTGTAAATGTGATGTTTGTTGTAAATCATTCATGAACGGGAAGCGCAGATCATTCAACATACCAAACCTAAAGAATGGAGATGAGTACGTTACCAACGGCAATGAAAAGGCAGATCTACTTGCAAAAGCTTTCGCTGACGCAAGCAGGGACGAAAACCAATCACCAGAGTTCCTGAAGAGAAAGGAAATCTTTTACTCACAGCACCCTTCATTAGAAATTGAACCTAATGAAGGGGCTAAACCAATCAATCTACCCTTCTCTGAGGAGGAGTTAAATAAGGCTCTTTCCCTCAAGAAGGATAGTGCGGCTGGTGAGGACAAAGTAAAGTACTCGATGCTCAAACATCTGCCTAGAAATGCCAAAAGGATACTACTAAACTTCTTCAACACATCCTGGCTGGCAGGAGAGGTACCTAAAGAATGGCGGAAAGCCAACGTCATCCCTCTTCCAAAACCAGGTAAAAAGAGAACAAAGGCAGAGTCCTATCGACCAGTAAGCTTGACATCCACACTGTGCAAAACCTTGGAAACAATGGTTAACATATGACTACAGTTCTATCTGGAGAGCAACCGACTGATCGACGAAAATCAAAGCGGGTTCAGGAAAGGGCGTTCAACAACGGACCACTTGGTGAGACTACAGCAAGTCATGTTGCACGCACTCCTCTCTGGGAACCTGTTATGTGTCGTGTTCGTAGATTTAACTAAGGCTTTCGATTTAGTCTGGCTAGACGGGCTGCTCTTCAAGTTAGGACGTATTGGTATAACGGGCATAATGTTTCGGTGGATCAAAAGCTTTCTGAGCGATAGAAGGATACAGGTGAATGTTGGCAGATTCCTGAGTGCCGTGCAAACATTAGAAAATGGCACGCCTCAGGGGTCGGTTATCAGTCCCACTCTCTTCAATATCATGATCAACGACATACAGAAATCTTCCTACCTCGACGCCAAAACTGAGTTAGCTAAATTTGCTGATGACAGTACCATATGGAGGAAAGGGAGGAACTTCTGTGAACTACAAAAGAACATGCAGAAGGCCTTAGACAAATTCGTGGCATGGGCAAACGATTGGGGATTCAAAGTCTCGGAGAAGAAAACAGTCGGCATGCTTGTAAGCAGGGATAGAGGGATAAGCAGAATGACTCTGTGTATGAACGGGAAAACCATCGAGTTTAAAGACCAAACCAAGTTCCTTGGCGTAATCTTT